ACTGTGCCCTTTTATAGGCTCCGGGGCCGGGAGGGGGCAGAAGAATTTCCCTGGTGGTGCCCAGAGTGGCCACCAGGGAAAGCTGGGGAGGGCTAGCCTCCCACTAGTTCGAATTAAGTGGCTACACAGCCCTTAATTTGAACTAGTTAATTCGAACTAGGCGTTAATCCTTGTGGAATTAGGTTTACCTTGTTCGAATTAAGCGCTTCGCTCGTTCAAATTAAGTTCGAACTAGTGATTTGCATGTGTAGCGCCTATCAAAGTTAATTCGAACTAACGTCTGTTAGTTCGAATTAACTTGTAGTGTAGACATACCCCAGCTCTTCTCTGTGTGCCTTCCAAAAAACTCCTCCCCTGCTGCCTGGGAGGAATCCTTTTATAGGAACCTGGAGGCCTTAATTGGCAGCAGATGCTTAATTAACTCCAGCTGCAAGCTGCCTCCTAATTAGGCCTCTATGTTCTACCCTGGCTGCTGAAGCTAATTTGGAAGTAAGAAAGCATTAACCCGCCTCCCAATATGGCAGAGTTTTGCAGTTTGCAGGCTGTGGTCTGTCACAAAACCCTTTCTGAAGTACTCTGTGTCTTGTTGTGGGATAGCTGCCACAATGCACTCCTCTCTGGGACATTGCAAGAGCTGCTAAAGTGGATGCACACCACCATCACAAGGAGCACAGTGTGGACACACAACAGCAGTATCCCTGCAGCACTCTGTGAGCAGAGCTGTAACTTCCAGTGCTGTAAATTTGCCAGTGTAAACATACCCTGAGTCCTGCCACAGGTGCAGGGGATCGGACTGGAGGCACCGGCACTGACGCCATCGGAGCGCAGGGGCTGGAGCTCCCACAAGGAAAAATTTATAGGCAGCCAAAATCCTTCCTCCCCCCAGTGATGTTTGCCCACTGGTGGACCCACTGACCAACTTCTCCACCTCCCTCTTGGCATCCCCCACTCCCACAAACAGCTGTTTTGCAGCATTTGGGATACTCCAGGAGGGAGGGAGAAGAGCAGGGATATAGCACGCTTAGAGGAAGCGATGGGGCAGAGATGGAACAGGAGAGGGCAAAGGAGGGTCAAGAAGAGGTGGAGATGGACTGGGAATTTGGGGGAACAGGTAAAGTGGGGACAGGGAAGGGTGGAGAGATTGAGCACCCCCAAGGTCCCTTTCAGGCCTAGGATTCCAAGTTCAGAAACTTCCTTAAGAATTTTGGTTTCACTTTAGTCTATTAACTTCAGTTGTATCTTGGATGAAACAAAAACACTTATTTTTAGTTTTACTTACGGTGGCTTTAGAACCTGTGGCTTTGCGTAAATCATTCTAAAGGGAAAAGAGGAAAACAAAAATTATTTCAAGTTAAGGAATGATAGTTATAGCTTGTGACATAGTGGGGGGTACCTTACTATGCTGGGCAGTGGGTTGTGAGTGACCTCCACTGGCTGCTATCTGCAGCACGGCCCAGCAGGGCAGGGGATGAATCATTATGCAAGGGGGCTTCCGAACCTGTCTGATGAGTTATCTCCCAGGGAGCGTAACAATGGGAAGAAGGGGAGTGGAGCCCTGGCTGGGGGCAGGGCTGGAAGTGAGTGAGTTAGGTTTCTGCCTGGGAAGCAAGGGAGAAGGAGCTAGGGAGGGGGGCTGGGATTGTAGGGCCCAGCCACCCCCCATCTCAAGGGGGGACACTGTGGCCTCCTAACCCCAGTTTCTGTAACCAGATTACATCTGTGCTGTGCTGTATCCTGGAGAAGCAATAAACTCCCCCTATTCTACTGGCTGGTGGAGTCTGTCCGTGCCACTACGGGGGTGCAGGAGACGGGAAAACCCCAATGCACTGTCACATAGCTGTTACAAAAATCTTTCTGGAGTTTACAGCTAAAAGATTTCCCTCACTCAGAGGCCCATCCTCAGGACTGCTCAGGAAAGGGTTTTAACTATACCTCTGGCTTGAGTTTAAATCCCGGTTCAAGTCACAAAACAACATGGCTACGTCTACACTGGCCCCTTTTCCGGAAGGGGCATGTAAATTTCATGAGTCGTAGTAGGGAAATGCGCGGGGGATTTAAATATCCCCCGCGGCATTTAAATAAAAATGTCCGCCGCTTTTTTCCGGCTTTTAAAAAAGCCGGAAAAGAGCGTCTACACTGGCCCCGATCCTCCGGAAAAAGTGCCCTTTTCCGGAGGCTCTTATTCCTACATTTTTATTTAAATGCCGCGGGGGATATTTAAATCCCCCGCGCATTTCCCTACTACGACTCATGAAATTTACATGCCCCTTCCGGAAAAGGGGCCAGTGTAGACGTAGCCTAAATGCCGCTGGGGATATTTAAATCCCCCGCGCATTTCCCTACTACGACTCATGAAATTTACATGCCCCTTCCGGAAAAGGGGCCAGTGTAGACGAGCCCCATGAGTTTAATGGTCTCTAAGGGTATGTCTAAACTGCATCCATCTGTTAGCAGAGGGATGCAGATTAGGCAGGTCGACATTGCAAATGAGGCAGGGATTTAAATATTCCATGCCTAATTTGCATAGAAATGGCCTCCGTGTTTTGCTGACTCGGCACTTTGTCTGCAAAAAGTGGCAGTCTAGAGGGGGATCTGTTGAGAAAGAAAGCCTTTTTTGACAGATCCTTGCAGGAGGCATAAGGGATCTGTCGAGAAAGGCTTTTTTCTCAACAGATCCCCCTCTAGAGTGCCACTTTTTGCCGACGAAGTGCTGAGTCAGCAAAACGCAGCAGCCATTTTTATTCAAATTAGGTGTGGGATATTTAAATCCCAGCCTCATTTTCAGGGCTTGACAAACGGCAGCAAAATCTACTCGCCAGACCTGCACTGCGCATGCGCAAGACCCTCATTGCGCATGCGCGCGCCACCAGTGAACGGGGCAACCGGCTAAAATCTACTTGCCACGGGCAAGTAGGAACAGCAATTTGTCAAGCCTTGCTCATATGCAATGTCTAGACATACCCTAATATTGGTTCTGATCACAAAACCGCTACATTGTATGTCTTCATTGACAATCTATGCTTATGAGAGGCTCAGAGACAGATAGCAAAAATCAGGAATGATGTGCAATAGAAAAGCAGTGTGAGCATGCAGGATTGCAGAATACAAGTTTTGCAAGTGGGGAATGGGGCACATTGATAGAGCAGTGGGTGTGGCTCAGAGTTTGAATAGTAGAGGTGCAGGCTGGTAACATTCATAAAGGGAAATCCATCATATCACTGCTGAGAGGAAGGTAATATCCAAGCTTATCTAAATCTCAGCGTCATCAGGCTTTCCTGACAATTCATAATACACCAATGCAATGCTAAGCCATAGCACTGGAGTTCCACAAGCATAGATGATCATCCTTCAGGAACCCCAGAGCTCTGCTGAAAGTAGATCAAATGCTTAAAAGCAACTAAATAAAGTTCTACCTTGGTAACTCAATTTCCAGCAAGTTCTCCAGGAGGTAGGTACGGTTGCTATGGAGGACGAGCAAATGAAGGTTTGGTTTACAAAAAGACAGCATGAAAGAGAAAATCATTTCATTATTTCATATTTACCAGCATCTAAATATAAAAGAAATTAAAAAAAAAAATCTGCTGTATTATCTGTGTTTCTTGAATATCAGTGTGATCATCTGTTTGTTTTTTCATTGAAAGAAAACATTGAATATTTAGTTTACCAAAAATATAACCTTTAAAAGTACCGTAAAATCTCGAGTATAATGCTCACCTATGTATAATGCAAACCTACCTTTTAAACATCAGCATTCTGGAATAAACTAAACTCTTAACTATAATGCGCACCCCCATTATACACGTGATTTTATGGTTCTGCTCCCACCTGCAGGCTTGCCCAGGAAAAGCACGTGCAGCACGGGGGAGCCGGCAGCGGAGTTTGAAACTTGCTCCCCACCCAGCTGCTTGTGCGCCGGGCTGAGCTCGTGCTTTCTGCGGGGTCCCCTTTCCCCCCCACCCAGCTGCCCCGCCCGCTGGCTCCTCACCTTGTCTGGGAGCCTGGCTGACCTCGCGCCTGCCGCAGAGGCCCCCTGCTAAGCTGCCGTGCGCCGTGCTAAGCTCATGCCTGCTGCGGGGCCCCCTGCCCAGCTGACCTAGCGCTTGCTGCGCACGGGCAGCTGAGCAGGAGGCCCTCGCGGCAGGCACAAGCTCAGCTGGGTAAGGGGACCTCTGCGGCAGGTGCGAGGTTAGCTGGGCAGGGGGCCCCGCAGCAGGCATGAGCTTAGCACGGCGCACGGCAGCTTAGCAGGGGGCCTCTGCGGCAGGCGCGAGGTCAGCCAGGCTCCCAGACAAGGTGAGGAGCTGGCGGGCAGGGCAGCTCTCTTGTCCGGGAGCCTGGCGGGGATGGTCAGGTATAAACTTTACAAATTACATCCTATGTATAATGCACACCCTGGTTTTAACCCTTAAAAACTAGGGGGAAAAGTGCACATTATACTCAAGATTTTACGGTAATATAAGTCCAAGGAAGATACATCTGCAAACCTACACATGAATACTCCTTATTCACATAAGTACAAGTTGAACCTCTTTAGTCCAACACCTTTGAGGCCTTCCCGGTGCGGAACCAGAGTCTGTGCCAAACCACAGGTAGTCAATATTTTATATCAGCACACTACCAACACTTCTGCTGCTTAATGGGCTCTTAGAATACATTTAGGGATAAATTAGAGCCAAATAACAACACAGAACCCTGAGCACCAGAATTGATGGCTGTAAAAAAACTCTATAGGACCATGGAAAACTTGACAACTCCCATGAGAATTGGACATCCAGCTAATAGAATCATTCCAGAATATGGAGATTACTGGACTGGAGAGTGCAGGACTAGCAAGTTTCAACCTGTCATCCCACTGAAGCAAATGGTATTATCACATCAGTAAAGGCCTGTCCAGTTAGCAAGCATTTACAGGATTATGTCACAGATATTAAATGGAATTAACAAAAGGCCCCACCTTGGTAGATTTATATTGTGAAAGTCATCCGGGTCCTGGGTATTTGGGCTACAGGAAGAAAGCATGTCACATTTAGTGTTTGGTTGTTTTGTTGTTGTTGTTTTAAACACAGCATAGAACAAAATAGGCAGTCACCAGAAGTATCAAGATTAACACCATTCAACATTTTAAGAGAAGGGAACAAAAGATTCCACCTTGGATGTTTTATTTCTTGTGCCTCGTCCAAGTCATGGGAAAGAAAGTGATGGACATTTTATGAATTACATTTGTATGACTAGTGGCAGACATGGGAGGGTGGGGGATGGGCATTAGGCTCTTTCCCCAAACCAGCACATGGTACAGTACCACCTTTTAGTTGGTGGGGAAGAGCAAGGAGAAAAAAAATTCATCACAAAACCCAAAACTTATTACAGAAACCTGGCAAATGAAGTGTAATGTGGATAAGTATAAAGTAATGCACATTGGAAAAAATAACCCCAACTATACATATAGTATTATGGGTGATAATTTGGCTACGACAAATCAGGAAAGAGATCTTGGAGCTATCACGGATAATTCTCTGAAAACGTCCACAGTGTGCTGCGGCAGTCAAAAAGGCAAATAGAATGTTAGGAATTATTAAGAAAGGGATAGAAAATAAGACACAGAATATGTTACTGCCCCTGTATAAAACTATGGTACGCCCACATCTTGAGTACTGTGTACTGATGCGGTCTCCTCACCTCAAAAATATATTTTGGCCTTGGAAAGGGTTCAGAAAATGGCAACTAAAATGATTAGGGTTTTGGAACAGGTCCCATATGAAGAGAGGCTAAAGCGTCTGGGACTTTTCAGTTTGGAAAAAAGGAGACTGAGGGGGGATATGATAGAGGTCTATAAAATCATGAGTGGCGTGGAGAGGTGAATAAAGAAAAGTTATTCATTAGTTTCCATAATATAAGGACTAGAGGACACCAAATGAAATTAATGGGTGTCAGGTTTAAAACTAATAATCGAAAGTTCTTCTTCACACAGTGCATGAAAGTATAGGCTGAGTCCTTTGCTTCAGTTTGATCTCCTCCCCTCTTCTCCTGGAAAAGTGCAGATTTTAATATAGATTCCAGTGTCAGGTGACAGGATAAACAAGGCCTCTGCAAGGCCCTAGTCTCCATATTTCATGAGCCGACCCACACCTCTGCAGGAATGTTTTGCTCCATTGTCTCTTGCTAATGGGCTATCACAGCCTTGAATCAGTGGGAGTGATCCAAATCAGCAAAAATGCCATTACAGAGACTCCATTTAGTAATCCTCACTGATTAATGAGGATAATGACACTCCCTTTCTCACACACACATATATGAACCTGTGCACTGGCCCTCCCCCGACTTCAGTTGAAAAACAGTTCTCAATATAGTAGGATGACCAAAGAACAATGGGATTGGGAAATGTACATCATGTGACACTGGCTGTCCCATGCAGCATTGCAAACCCTTCCCAAAGCACCCTGTGTCTAGTTGCACAGTGGGATAGCTGCCACAATGGACTGCTCATTGGGCCATTGCAAGAGCTGCTAATGAGGGTATGCTCCACCATCACAAGGAACACAACAGCGGTTTCCCTGTAGTGCTCTGTGAGCAGAGCTGTATCTACCAGCACTGTACATCTGCCAGTGTAGACACACTCTCATGAGTCCTGCCACAAATGCAGGGGAGTGGACTAGATGACCTCTGGATGCACAGGCATTGACTCCATGAACACTCTGAAGCTAGAGGTCCCACAGGGAAAATTAGCAATTCTCATCACCCCAGAGCAGCCCAGCTCCTCCTTGCCCCAGCGCCTCTCTCCCACTGATGGGCCTTAAGGCTATGGTGGCATGTACATAGTATCGGGGTAGAGCAGAGGCAAGAAGTGGGAGGGGATCAAGTACCTCTAGCTAAAGGCAAAGTCACCGCTTATGTATTAAGGGTCCAGTCAGGCCTATGGTTCTAAATTCAGAAACTTCTTTTTGCATTTTGATCTGACTTTAGTCTATTAACTTTAGTTAAGGAACAATTTTCATAGCTCTTCAAAAAACCTTCCACAGTTTACAGATATAGATTCCCACCACTCATTGATTCCCACCAATCAGTGAGAGTGACCCAAAACCGAAAATACGCCATTAAACAGACCCCATTCAGTAATTCTCACTTGATCTACACAAATGATACATACATACACATGGGATAATCTTATTCAGTAGATGACAGTTTTTCCAAGGATATATTATGTGAGGCATCCTGCATGAAGCTCATCTCAGTTATTACATTCCTTGCATAGTAATCTGTTCAAAAAGCTTATGGAAAGCCCTTTCACCACCACCTTGTTATTAAGACCTCACTCAGAGATGAAATCAGTTGTGGGAGAACTGATTCCACCCTCCCCGCTAAGAGATAAAAATCACTGACAGCTGAAACTACGTGAGAGTGTTTGTGCCCACCCTGCAAAGAGATTAAAGTTACTGATAAAGTTACTGATGTGCAGAGATTTCAGCAAGAGGCAGGTGGTAGCAGAAGGTGACTAACAATCACCTGGCAAACAAGTGGCTGGGTGGTTAGCAGAGAAGGGCAGTGAGCAAATGCCCAAGCAGCAGGAGGAATAAGGTGCCTTTTTACACCCCACTCCACCCAGGGTGGGAAGTGAACTCCGTATCTGTGCCTCTGAACTTGAGCTCTGCACTGGCCAAGCAACGCTGACCAGCAGCTGTGAGTGGGGTGCAGAGAGGGTCAGGCATGTAAAAGGGTTGGGGTGGCTGGACTTAAGAACCTGAGAGGAAAAGGACACTCCCCAGCCTACTTGGGGATGGCTCTTTTGCTCATGGTTTATGTTTATGAACCTTCTTGCTTTGGTGTTTTCTAAAATTAATGCCAAGTGACTCCCCTTCTTTTACTAAAAGTTTCTATCCCACACTCGGACTCTGTGCTTGCTACTGGGGAAGAACTGACTCTCTGTAGTGCCCGGGTGTGGTGTGTCAATTTTACTAGTTGGGGACCTGAGCCAGTTTTGTGTTGTATCGATGGAAAGGAAACCCTCTGCTGCATCCAGCCCAAGTTGCTGCTGGCTCCACCTGGCAGAAGGGTTACACTAAGGCTAGGTCTACACTAAACCCCTCTGTCAGCAGAGGCATGAAATAAAGCACATCAAAAGTGCAAATGAAGTGGGGATTTAAATATCCTGCACTTCATTTGCATAATCACGTTCTGGCGCTGTTTTGATCAAGCGCCATTTTGAAACTGAAACTGTGGTTTAGACACGGTTTTGCCGACAGTGGGGTGATTTTTCAACAGATCCTGTACTCCTCAAAAAACAAGGAGTACAAGATCTGTCGAAAAATCACCCTGCTGTCGGCAGAACCACTTCTAAATCATGGTTTCAGTTTCAAAATGGCACTTAATTGAAACAGCGCCAGAATGCGATTATGCAAATGGAGCATGGGATATTTAAATCCCCGCTTCATTTGTACATTCTATTTGCTTTATTTACATCCCTTTGCTGAAAGAGGGGTGTAGTGTAGACCTACCCTAACATAGTTTGTGATGGTGTGTCAAGATCTTGCCAAAGTACGGCTCCAAAGGATCGGCATGACAACAGGTGCAACTCAGCTCTTCATCTGTGGCTGCTGGTGTCATTAGAAAGTTGGTGGATGATGTGGATACAGGAAAGGGCCTTGCAGAGCCAGTTTACAGAACTAACTCCCTTAATGTATCTAATTCAGAAAAAGGTACGCACTAGAGCCGTGCTGTCCCTCTCCACCTGCCTCTGAGGGGTCACTGCTAGTTTAAATTGAGTTTTCATTTGAAATGTGTCAGCAAACCCCAATTAAGCCTTAAGAACATAAGAATGGTCGTACTGAGTCAGACCAAAGTTCATTTAGCCCATTATCCTGTCTTCCCACAGTGGCCAATGCCAGATACCCCAGAGGGAGCGAACAGAACAGATAATCAGCAAGCGATCCCTCTCCCATCGTCCATTCCCAGCTTCTGACAAACAGAGGCTAGGAACATCATTCCTACCCATCCTGGCAAAAAGAGTATTGATGGACCTAATCTCCATGAATTTAGCTAAGTCTTTTTTGGACCTGTTAAAGACCTGGTCTTCACAACATCCTCTGGCAAGGTGTTCTAAAGGTAGACTGTGTGCTGCATGAAGAAAAACTTCCTTTTGTTTATTTAAACCTACTACCTATTAATTTCATTTGGTGACCCCTAGTTCTTATGTTATGGGAACAAGTAAATAACTTTTCCTTATTCATTTTCTTCATACCTGTCCTGATTTTACACTCCTCTATCATATTCCCCCTTACACTCTGCTTTTCTAAGATGAAAAGTCCCTGTCTTTTTAATCTCTCTTCATATGGCACCCATTCCAAACGCCTTTTCATTTGTGGTGCCCTTTTCTGAAACTTTTCCAATGCTAATATATATTTCTTGAGATGAGTGACCACATCTGTATGCAGTTTTAGGGGCAATAAGATATTTTCTGTCTTATTCTCTATCCCTTTTTAAATGATTCCTAACATTCGGTTTTCTTTTTTGACCATTGCTGCACACTGAGTGGATGTTTTCAGAGAACTATCCACAATGATTCCAAGATCTCTCTCTTGAGTGATAGTAGCTGAATTATTTCCCATTATTTTGTATGCGTAGTTGCGATAATTTTTTCCAATGTGCATTACTTTGCATTTATCAAAGCTAAAAGAGAAGTGGTTAGGAATCTCAACAAAGTGGAATTGATTCCAGCCCTTTAACTGTAAAACCTCAAAGGCTCACATAATCTAGGAAACTCCAACACAGAATAGTTACCTCATTGTGCTGAAAGTCTTGACTGGTGTGTGCTGCCAGGTATGATTGGATGTACTCCTGCACATTAAATCCAAATGTCATGTTAAACATGGAGATCTAAATAACATAAAAACTTCACACTAAAAATCACAGAGTCCAATTTCTAGGCAAGTTTAAAGATGCAAACTTTACAGCAAAGAAACAAACCCAGAAGTTTAGCCTTACAATAGAATAAATCAAACCAAAGGTTGCTAGAATGCCGTGGTAGATGAAGAAAAGCAGCTTCATATTATTATCTGTCATGCACTGGGAGTGCAGTCAATGATATATCGTGATCTCTGCAATAAAGAGCTTACATCGTACCTCATCATTGGAATGCCAAAACTATAGCCGTTAAAAGATAATCGAAGAGAATGATATGGCAAAACAGATGTAGTTTTTTACTTACCAAACTTGTAAGACCTCACGCTCAACAGTATTTCTGTTTGTGTCTGTGTTACGTGATAATGCTTCAACTTCTGTGCTTCAAAAGCTCCTTTGTTTTTAAATTTCACTCATTTTTATTTAAAAATATTTAAAGATGAAAAATACCCCAAAGACAACCCGAAACTGAAAACAAAACATTTTGTTTGACCCAAAAAGATTATTTTATTTTGCCAGGAAACCAAAAAAAAAAAAAAATCAGTTTCAATCTGAAACCAACTGATTTTCTTCTTCTGTTCAGACCCAATCTGAGAAATCAGTTATGGAAGTTTGGGAACATAAATCCATAATTCAGCCAGATATTTAAAACCATGGACTGTGGCTTTATGGCTCAGTCATCGTCATCATCATCAAGCATGGGCTCAACAGCCGTTGTCGTCCAATGCCTTCCTCACTATTTCCTTCCATCATTCCCTGTCCAGTGCAGGGTGGCTTAGTTTCTGTAGACTAGCTCTGCACCAATCTACTATATCATCTACCCATTGTCTGTGGGGTTTGCCTCTCCTATTCAGACCATCCATTATGCCGAATACCAGAATCTTAACTTTTCGCTTGTTGTTCATTCTGCAGCTATGCCTGAATAGCTGTAACTTCCATTGTATGCCCCTCTCATGCCACTTGGATTGCACAGGGTGTGACAGAAGAGTCTGCTCCCTCGCTCATTTTTCTGCCCAGCTAGGCTAACACAATGCTGGGGAATCTAGTGTACCTCTGAGAACTGGGATTTTGAACCACCGATTTGAATTTCTGTAGATATTAAGCACCCCCTCTACTTTTCCTCACCTATAGGCAGAATGAGTTGTGTCATATGCACCAATATGAAGATGAGGTGTGACACATAACACAATTCATGTGGTGTGGGTTGGGAAGAGGGGTTCAGCATATGGGAAGGGGTTCAGAGTGAGCTGAAGGTTGGGGTGCAGTGTTGTGAGGTTTCTGGCTGGGGATACTGGCTCTGGGGTAGGGTCAGGGATGAGGAGATCAGGCTAGAGCAGAGGGTCGGGGTGCAGAGGTTTGGGGCGTAGGTGGAGATACTGCAAGGAGAGGATTCCCCCAGCTCTTTCTCAGCCTGGAGCAACACTTGGTTTGGGGGGGGGAGGAGGGAGGAAGAAGAGGCACCTCTCTCAGCCAACGCAGCTCTGGGACTGGGGGATAGAATAAGCACCTGGCCTCTGGACCTGGCATGTCTGCGCTGAGGCTGGGTTGAAGCTTGGGAAGGGACACTGCAGCAGGTCCGGGCTCCACAGTAGCTCAAGGTGTCCTGGCAGGTCTAGGCCATAGCAGAGCTGGTTTGGGAGAGGAGCACCTGTCCATGGCAGGTCCAGGTCAGGGTTCGAGCCAACCTTTCCCCAACTGCGGCAGATCCACGAACAGATTCCCCGAGCACCTGTGCGGTGCTAAACCGGCTAGTCCACACAGCTTGCAGGGAATTTAGACAAGAGATAACTTAGGAGGGGAACTATGGAAACTCTTGATTACCAAAGCAATCTACTTACCAAAAG